CCTAAAAATAGCAAAACAACAGGCCGGCCGCTACTACGTCTTTCAACAAAGGTAGAGCTTCTGCCACTGCTGTACGATAAAAACAGAAAAAAAAGAGAAGGGAGTATACATCCTTTGCACAAGAAAAGGCGTCAATGCTTCAGCGCGCAAATGTAAACGTCGGCAGAGATCAGATGTGGGCAAAACGTTACAATCTGTAAGACCTCGCCCGTCTATACAAGCAAAAAATAAAATAAAGGTAAAGAAGTTCCCTATCTTGAGAAATGATGCAGCGAAATCTCCTCCACTGCACCCAGGAAGCAGTCTACGGGGAAATAAAGGAAAAGTATATGTTGCGAGTGTTTCCTCCACATCCAGTAGTCAGAGGTTCTAAACGGTGATTCCTTTTCCTTTCTTTTTTTTCTTCTTCTCAAAGAAGACAGGCTAACAAGGACCACTCTGGCACTTCCTTTATGTACCTTCCACCCAGAAATCTTCGGCGCGGTTGCGTCCGAATAAACGCAGAGCAACGAAAAGACTTAGCATAATCATGTCACCGCCTGTACACTCCCGTTCAATTTATACACACGCCTCGTAGTATGTTTCGGCGTCGCCGAATCTCTCGCTGCAAATGGAGTGAGTGGAAAGGCTAAATATCGAAAGAAAGACAACGCATCTGTGGAACACAAGCCCCCGAATAGAGAAGGTTAGCTTCGGAGATAAAAACCGAGCGAGAAGTTTAGGAGCCGCTCGGTGGAACCAAACAAAGAGAGCGAAATAAACGCTTTCTTGTTTACGAACCGGCACCCAACCGCAATTCCTTCAGAACGCCGCTTCGCTTAGGCCAACGTCGAACGTCTTCTTAGCCGGTGAACATCAACAGAGCAGACGCCGAGTACTACAGAAAGAGAAGAACAAGGAAAGAGGGGAGAAGGAAAAACGAGGGAAGAGGGTGAACCAGGGTAACAAGCACCCGGACCGTATAGTCGAAGAAAACCAGGGAGATGCACAGAAGCGTGGATGGGGGAAACGAAACAACAACAAAAGCCTTTGGCCACCAGTCTTACGTCGAGCCGCGTGAAGAAAACTCCACTTGTCTGTGTGGGACGGGAACAAAAAAAAAAAGAGGGGGGGGGGGGGGCGAGAGAAAAAATAGGGCAAAAAAAAAAAAAAACCACGCATCTCTGCACTTTTTCTTTCTCGAACAGATATTTTTTCTTCATAATCGAACCCCCCTGAGAGCTCGTTTCACAATGATGAAACGGTGACCCGCATTGAAAGAAAAAAAAATCCCGACAGAAAAAAGCACCGCGAATTCTGCCGCCGGCGTGAAATTCTAATGACGCCAGGAGAAAATTCTCCGCGTTAAAGATAAGAAAAAAAAAGAGATGCGCCGATAGACCAGCGTATAGTAAGTGTGGAAAGACGTAAGATGAAATAAAACAAAAGAAAACCATCACAATCTCGGGGGAAACGAGTGTGAATTTGGCCCACAGGCAACAAGGCGCGAATGCGTAAAGATTTTTTTTTAGTGAGAAAAAAATTGTCCTCAATTTCGAGCGGAGTGCGAAATGAATCGAGCAAAATAGCGGGGACCAGGACGAAAAGAAGAAGGAATATGAACGCACGTATCGCTGGTATTATCGAGCGTGGAGCGGCAGACCTGCGGTGAGGCGAAGTCGACCGAGAGACAGAACCATCAGAGTTAGAAACGCACTCGGTGGAAAGGCGCCAGCCAGTTCGCGTTCGTTCTCGCGTCTGCGTTGGCGCTAGAGAGTCTAGCACGTTCACTTCCAAAAGAATAAAAATATCTGATAAAGAAAGAAAATCAAAAGAGAGAGCACCGCAGGGCTTTCCATTCGAAGCACTTGCGCCTGCGTATAGCTTTGCCTCCCCTGCTTGCTACGAAGGGCAGCCTCTTTCTTCCTTCTCTATCTTTCGTTCTGTACTCCATCGATTCTTCAATTGAATTTACCATCGCAAAAGGCTATCTGTATTTAGTTTTTCAGTCAACCCAGAAGCGTCTTGTCTGAAGCCTTATGTTAAGCGTCATGCGGCGCTTCGATACTGTTCACTTATACGAGAAGTCAAAATTTTCAGAGGGCTTTGAAGCGTCCCCTCGTTTGAGCCCGTTAAGTATCGCACGTCTGTCTGAAATCGTTGCCTCACGCGTACTAACCTTATGCTTCCAGTGGTAAGTGAGGCGTCTGGTATACAGCTTGCTGAGCGTCACATGCAGCTCCGAGCTTCCTGCCTCCCGCGAAGTTGCTTGAGGTTTTAAGTGGCCAGAAATTCGTCCAGCCTGGAGCTTGTTGAACGTCAGTTGCTCCGCCGAGATAGTTAACTCGGGTCGATTACTTCAGGATTTCAGTGGCCCGCGAAGCGTCTTGCTTTTGAAAGCCCCGTAAGCGCCGTACTTGCCCCCACGACTGTTAACGTTAACGCGCGCGATGTTATTGGCGGTAGCAAGCTCGTAATTCGTCTTGATTCGTAAAGCATGTATTAGCGAAGTATGTACTTCCGAGATTACTAGCCCACCCGAGGTTACTAATGGTTTAGAGTGGCTTGTAAATCGTCTAATCTGATGTCGGTTTAAACATTCTTTTCTGCCTCCAAGATGACGGCTCAATCGAAATTGCTTACAGCTTTATCTCACTGCCGTTTCCTTCCCCGCCTTCACGACCGAACGCTCGCGCAAATGGCTAATGCGATATATCATAGTGTTCTTGTGCGCCCGCAAAAATAAACAAAATGCACACTAGCAAATAAGGAATGTATATCTATGTTCGCCGCCTATAACATTAACAAATGTCAGAATGATGACAAAGGTACATCAAAAATATTTCTGCCAATGAAGAAATAAGGTCTTAAGCTCACTTCTAATTTATTTTGCATGTTGTAAAATCTCCCGACAGAATATATTCGGCATTTATGTTCCTTCTTCATTTGTTCTTGCTGATCTGTCTGACGTGTTTTTGGTAAAATAAGTTTATTAACTGCATTTTACCAGTCCAAACCAATTTTATTACAGTATAGGATGCCTCAGAATATTAATGACATAAAGTGTATACTTGGCGTATTTTAGACGTACCGCAATATAAAATAAATCCTAGCTGTGACACCAGAACTTAGGCCTCGACATCTCAGTGGAGTACGGAACAATCCAAAAGAAGTCGCAAGCGTTCTTCGCGAAGTTCTCGTTTTATTGTGTGAGTAACGTACGTTGTTTAATAAACTAAGACATATGAGGTGTACCGAGCGAATGAACTCTCTTCTTCGAATCAATAGGCGATATGTGTAAAGCTTGTTTCACTGCGATGCTGTGCGAGCTGTAGGTGAAGTGCTCTGCGCGTTCCCAGTGCACTTCAAGGACTCTTGTGACCCCATGTATCCGTCGCAGCGCGTCAGCGCGAGGCTTTTTGATGCGGCGCCGCGCCCACTCCCTATTGGCTTCGAGGACACACCGTGGCGCCATCTACGCGATGACGTCATTCATAGGACGCCGGCTTGTGTTGTCTGCTAGAACACCGCACTTCCAGCGCTCTTGCTGTGGACACCGTGCGTGCTTCTTTTTTCTTTTGAAGCTCAGTGCTTAAAGAAGCGGTAAGACCTGATAATACGGACAATCCAACTACGAATCGGTGCACTCGGTGTTACTGTCGTGTCTAATTTGCATAGTTAAATTGCATCTAAAAGCCTGTGCAGCCATGGGGGACGATGCAAGCAAGGCGAGTGCACGCATCATATCCGTGACGTCAAAACAATCGCAGCGCTGGCCTCTCTAGTGGAGGCCTTCGCGGCCAATAGAGAGCGCGGTCACGTGGTTACGCGGAGCAATACGCTCTCCCGCTCTCTCCATATGGGAAAGGGCTCAACGCGGCGTCAAATGGACGCGCGCCGACGCGCTGCGGCGGATACACGGGGTCAGGCCTTAAAGCACACGAACAACCCGCATGCCTCGCTGGTTGAGTGAGAAGGCCCCCGAAGAATCATATATCACAGCTTGCTTTAAAACTTGCCTGCAGCAAGGCACGAGCAAGTATCATTTAACGAGTCGGTCTTGGTACATCGCTGCGATGTCAAGTGTTATTTCATCTCTCAAGCAATCACGCTAGACGCTTTTTTCCCTCCAAGATGGCTTCACGCACTCGTTGCGAATTTTCATGCACTAATTTAAAAAATACATATTGAAATACAAACACGTGCACGGGTGTAAGCTGAAGGTGTGGGAAAGTTACTTCTGGGGTAAGCCGAAGGTGTATGTATATATATATATATATATATATATATATATATATATATATATATATATATATATATATATATATATATATTAAGCTCCTCGTTTTTTTATCTGAAAATAAAAACAAATTCTTACTTTCAGTGCCAGTATTGAGGCATATCGCCTGATCTTTTTTCACTTCAGAGTGCTGACGGGCGCCTTCACGTACTCCCATTCAGTCGATTCCCAGAAGTGCCGAGAAAGGAGTCCTCAATATTCAATATTACAATGAGAATTTCGCATACGCTATCCAACTTACCCTAAGATGCTTGAATAAGTGTACTTTTACGTAAATCGCTACACTGAAGGTCTGTCTGGCACGAAACTGGCCTTATACTAGATGTCGGAGATGTCGTAAACTCCGTATTAAGCGGTTCCCATTACACTTGACGTACGAAATGACACCGACAGGCGTTTCCAGAGCATAATTACAAAAACGAAAACCAGTGGTCTTTCTTTTGCGTCTTCATAATCTCATAATCTTCACCTAACTCATAATCTTCATAAACTCATAAGCATAATCATAAACTCATAATCTTCACCCCATTCGTCGTCGTGATTTGCAGCAGGTTGTGCGCCTTTTCAAACCACCATCATCATTTATTCTCGCAACGATGCCCGGATGTCACGTTTGAGTGCCCGGACAACGGCGTGAGGATTTTGGCTGAAGTTCGTTTGAAGGTCGCCGACAACGGTAGGTTGAAATAAAAGCACTTGAGGCTAAGTGGGAGCAGCGTACCTCGGACGAGGTGAGGTAGACGCGCGAGTCGGTGCTCTCCAGCGACGCCTGCGGAAAGAGGGCGTGGTTGCTCTCGACGCTCAGCGAAGACGCCGTGCCGACCTGCGACAGCAGCGTGCTCCGTCTGGACGACAGCGACCCGCCGGCACTCAGAGTCGGGCCCGCGCTGCTGGGTCTCCCCGAGGACGCGGCCAGCCCTGCGACACCGCAAGGACGCTTCCTCATTAAAAGATAATTATTGACGAGCATCGGCATATCTCGTAAATCGCTACACTAGCACTATAGTGATTCAATGTTGTGGGTATCAACCAAGTAGCTCTCATTAGCACATCCTTCTTCGAAAATAGCGGCAGTTGTAAACTATTCGCGCGTCTAGCGTACCTCGCTATCTTGCATCTCATTGTCCGTGGTGATAGTACAGTCATCGTAGGCTTCATTTTACTATTAGAGTAATGGCAGTAGCAGCGACCGTACCAGTTTTGTTAGTAGTCGTTAACGGCAGTATAGTAGCAGCAGCCCATGCCTAACGCTGTCATATACACATGACGGCAAAGTTTACACAACAACATTACGCACCACAGATCTAATCAACGTACAACCACGCCAGTCACGCATAAAAATGGGGCAACAAAAACACAGACACATGAACCCACATTGACAGGCGCACAATCGAAAGGACCGTACGCAAACGCAGGAAAAACAAACACACACTCACGCGCCGCTATGAACCCGAACGCGAACCATAAGCACACTTGCGCGTGCGCTTGGGTGAGGAGTACACAACGAGAGGAGGAGGAGATCATCCACGAGGTCAATGATGACGAGTGGGGCGAAGCGGACGGACGGATGCCCAGACGAACGCATGGACGAACGAACGGACGGACGGACGAAAGCACGGATCGACTGCGCGATGCTTCACCACACTCATCATCATTCACTCCGTGGATATGCTGTGACCCATTTTTATTGACACGGAATGCAATGAAACTGGCTACTACGACTACGACGACATGGGATATACGACCCACGGTATGAGGAGCTTCGCTCCTAAAAAAAAAAAATTGGGACGACCCCTAAAGTTCTCTTTTAAGAGTTGAACGCGATAGCAATATTCTGTTCTTAGTGCGTGCTTCAAACACTTAGTGTGTGAAATCTTTTCGAACTTGCTCTGCACCCACTACGTGGCCTTAAGGGTGCAGTAGTGTGTCTGCCTTTTGTAGTGAGTGACATGGCTTTGAGCGATGAAGTTATGATGATCCCATATTCTGACGCCCGATGGCATTGTAGGCTTGTAGTACGCATTATTACGGCAACATTAAATGCGGAGCATTTCTTTATCGCACGATGTCGCGCTTTGGCGTCAGCGGCGCCATCCACACCCCCACTGCGTATGCTTGCGTCTGGAATTTAGTGCCACATGCTCCGAGGTGGTGGTGACTGCTTGGTAAACACACCCCAGTGGTATAGCGGTGATAGAGCTTGGCAGCTGATCAGAAGGTTGCGGGATCGAGTCCCGCCCCCAAGTGGCCATATTTTGACGGAGGCGAAATGCTGGAAGCCCGTGTGCTTTGATTTAGCTGCACGTTAAAGAACCAAGTGAATTCTAAATTTCTGGAGCTCTCCACTAGGGCGTCTCTTGTAACCACATCGCGTGTTTCGGACGTAAAACACCGACAATTGACATTATTATTCTTACTGTTTTGTCGGCTGACACCCACTGGTCCACACTGCACCGCAATAGTGTGAACCAAGCTTGCGGGGCATTCCCGAGGGTGCGATTCCTCGGCTCTAGATTCAGTCTCGTGAAGAGGTGACGAAGAGGAGGTTAAGCCGCGGAGTGCAGACAGTAGCGAAAAAAAAAAAAACGGCAAAATGATGAGTACGTTTGGAAGGGGCGGCCATCAGATCCCAGAGCAATGGACGAAGGGTCACGTGACGATGCCGAAGGAAAGAAGGAAGCGGTGGTGCCATTTTCTCTCTCCTTCTCTCTTTCAGTGGCGAGGTACAGCTCAGAGGGATCGTTAATTTACGGCAGTGGTTCTCGGCGCCGCAAAAACACCTCCCGAAGAAGGAAGCCCGAGCGCCGACCGCTGATTAACAGCCCGGTGGGCAGGAGCACGACGGGAACGAGGCCTAGTCCTAAATTGCTTCGGGTAACACTGCAGTCTGTCCCCGCGTGGCGCTACAGTCGCCCGGTGTTGGAGCGCCACGAGCCACACGAAGAAGCGTGCAGGAAGCAATTGAGGTCAGCGCCGCCACTTCACCTTTATCACGTGATGGTGTCTTGGCGAAAAGTGTCGGAAACATACATTCAGTGGTCATCTACCAGTAAATGCGAAATAATGAGATTACTACAATTGTGTTTTATTACCTCTAATGAGCTAAATGCAATCACCTAGATAACTGACACTTACCAGCGTTTGCCATTATCAGCCAACATTATCCGCTTGGGAGTGCTGATATTATCCGAGCCATTACGTGATAAGCCTCAGGCGTAAACGCTCACGTTTCTTTCTTTTTGTGTGTTTTTGGGGTATTGCCCACCCCTAAAACCTAGCGGGCAAGAAATACAATTGTTTCTTTTTAATTCGTGTTGTTCTTAATACTGCTAAAACGTTAATAAACAAGAAAAGTGCAAGCGCAAGCGTGCACTTTGCAGATTATGATAACTCTCGGTAGCACTATGAAGCTAGGCGTTTCCCGACTAACAAACTATTTTTGTTAGCGAGCCTATAAATGTGTGCGTTCAAAGGAGATCAACTTACAGGCTTCTAGAAAATATAGTGGACATGCAATACATTTTGTTAGTACGCAACCCAAATATATATCACTATACAGTAAACGAGCTTAAGTGTAAGATCACGCGCTCAATGCATCCTCCATAAAAAATGATAGATGTTGTTGCTTTCACGTGTGCGCATACAGTCCTCAGTTTGCCTGTACACGGTGCATAGACGGCCCTCACAAATTCTCAGTGCGGGCGTGTAGCGCACAGTTAGTTCGCGCAGATATACAGACACGCAGACAGGCACAGCTGTACAAGTCGAGAGACATTTTTCTGCTACGAGATACGCACAAACTGTTCCAACAGCCTCTGTTCTTATCTCCCCCTAAATTACATGTCATCACTCCGAAGCCTAACTGTAAACTAAGCCGCGATATGCAAGCATTCCACGTAGATTTGTCACTGAGGGGGCCATTGCTGTTTCGTTGAAACATAATGAAACAACAAGTCTACAAGACAGTGCCATTGCGAGATTTATGCAATTTCGACTGCGTATCGCACATGCTTTTGTATTGCTTATACCGCACGGTTCTGTATTAGACGCAGGTTCGGGCAGATTTGCTTGTTATGTCCGCTGCTGTAGTGAAATTGTCGGTCACGATGCGCCGCTGCTGACCCGCAGGTCGCAGGTTCGATTCCAGGCGTGACGGTCGCATTTTTATGGGGGCGAATGCTAGAGGTCTGTGTACTGTACGATGTCAGCGCACGCAGAACAACACCAGCCTGGTCGAAATTTGCGGAGTCCTCCATTACGGCACCTTTCATGATAATATCGTGGTTTTGGGGCACTCAACCCCAGACGTTTTACTGATTGATTTGTGGGGTTTAACGTCTCAAAACCGCTATTTGATTATGAGAGACGCCGTAGTGGAGGGCTCCGGAAATTTCGACCACCTGGAGTTCTTTAACGTGCACCGAAATCTGAGTACACGGGCCTACAACATTTCCGCCTCCATCGGAAATGCAGCCGCCACAGCCGGGATTTGATCCCGTGACCTGCGGGTCAGCAGCCGAGTACCTTAGCCACTAGACCACCGTGGCGGGGCCCAAATGTTTTATAATAATAATAATAATAATAATAATAATAATAATAATAATAATAATAATAATAATAATAATAATAATAATAATAATAATAATAATAATAATAATAATAATAATTGTTGTTGTTATGTTTACTTGTTCACAGTTATAAAATTCTTTTATTCATTTATGTTGGAGCTTTCATGGGCATGTGGTATGCGTGATTATACATACATACATACATACATACATACATACATACATACATACATACATACATACATACATACATACATACATACATACATACATACATACATACATACATACAAGGGAAGCTTCGTTTACTTAACAGCGCCCTCAAATATCGAGCTCGTAATGCTGCCTACGTTGCCGTTCGTGTGGAGTTAATGAACGAAAATGCGTATTTTTAAAACTAAACAAATAGTCTACATGACACGAAGTTACGGTGTCCATATAGTTTTCGTATTCCCTTAAAGAAAACTGACACAGCTTCCAGAGCACTGCACGGATTTACCGAGGCGAGCATATCGCGCCTGTTCCGTTCCGGATCCCCGAGCACTAACCCGAGCGGAAGGGACTGTCGGGAGAAGCGAACAGGCCAGGGAAGAGCTGTTTATCGCGTGTTTGTCGCCATGACAGCGCTCGCCGCTTCCCAGAGCTGTTGCCTCCCCCTCTTTGAACGCAGGTATTCGCCGCAGAGCCACACGAATTCACCTTAGCCCCTTGTTTTTTCCTTCTTTCTTTAATCGTTCACTGCACTGGAAAGTCGTGGCGCGGGGAGAGGGACGAGATAGGAGCGCGTCGTGACTAAGTGGCGGGTACGCGTAATCTGCGTGCTGTACATCACCCCCGCTCTTTCGAAGACAGTCGAGTTCTTGGGCGCCCCCCCCCCCCTTTTTTTTTTCCAGCTGTACTCTGTTAAAAGAGGTGAACAGTACCTTCTCAGCAATATCAGCATCCACCCATATTTCACATACTGTCGGTGTTCGCTGTCTGCTTCTTGGATAGTGTTGATCACACGTTGTCTCAACATAGCCTTCATATATTTATCATTCCAACGAGGCAATGCATCTACATCTTTAATTATTTCTCAAATTTTTTAAATTTTTTGGTCGCGCATTATTTGCATGCATTCCTGGCTACTTGTATTATAATTTTATAATAAGGGAGATTTCATCCCTCCTAAGATGCATACTGACTAGAACTTTCACCGAGCACTTGTTCGCAGGAAACGTGAAAATGACTGCTGGTAAATAATATATCGTCACAATTCGCCCATGCACAAAGCGATAACAGGAACGTTTTTTTTTCTTATGAGCAGGTGTTCTTTTACTGTAAAAAAACAGAAATAAAAAAGAAATACAACGTTACAATTGAATACAAGCGATTCGCAATCTACTCCGACAGTTCAGTAAAGTGCTATAGTTGAAAGGCACAATAAGATCTCGCCGTCACTACTGGACAAATGATAAGCCACCAGGTAGCGGCACCAACCCGGTCGTTCGCGTTTACGTCATCGGTAACGCGGTATTCCTTTAAGCAAAACGTGCGGGCTGAAGCTGGGGGTTTGACGTGCTGCTAATTCGTTTTCATTTTCGCCGTGTACGCATTAGAGAGCTTTGGTTTGGTGGGCAAACTTTCGAGCTTCCTCGAATAGCCAGGGTGTTTTAGGAATACCCCAACGCAGAAAATTTGGTCTGTCTGTCTGTCTGTCTTTCTGTTGGTCTGTGTGTCACCCAATTCAAACCCTCGGCGAGCGTTTAAGCCCTTCCTCAACGCCCAGCCATTTTGACCTGCTTGCTGCGTTCTTAGTTGTGAACACTGTCAATATGAAAGCAAGTATTACGCATATTTAAGGCGAAAATCAACACGTAAGTACAATGCAGAGCGTTACCTTATTACTGAAATGCATAAATACGTAACTGTAAACACCGCAGTGCTTATCACGCTGCGCCGAGAATGTGACGCTACAAACGAAAAAGCGAGTGACTCCTGCGCTTCCCTAAAACGAAATTGTAGTGCCACGTACCAGTGACTCCGCGTTCTAGAAAAAATATTTGTTTCTTGAAATTACTGCCAGATGGCGCACATGTTTCATGCAGCGCCTACTCACCTACATTCTCGCGAAGAATGTCAAATAAACGTTTTATTATCTCTCCCTCTCCAGACAGAAGACTATAGTCTTTCGACGACCTTTACCAGCGAAACACGCAGAAACGCGACCAATTCGTTTGTTTGTTTGTTTGTTTGTTTGTTTACATCTCTGTCATGTCAATTAGCTGAGTCCTTACATATAAATGAGCAGTGCAAAGAGAGATGACGCAAGAGAACTTCATAAGGAACTTCAGATTTTACCTTTTTTGCGACAGCAATTAGTCCGTCAATGCTTCTGACAACTCTCGCAACTACGCTTCATGTTCGCTTGCGACATAGAGGGAACAGTGGAGTAAGAGAGAAGGCAGACGCTATTTCTCTCGTTTACACTTCAGCGTACCGTCACCCAGGTGTTTGGTAGCGAGCCAAACACATTCTAATTAACCGCGCTGCTGTTCCTTCATTTTCTATCTCTCTACATATTTATCTTCCGCTCGTGTTTTGTGGTTCCTCGCTTCGTCCTTTGTGTTTTCTCTGCGCTCCCAGTTCGCTGAACGAAGAAAATATTTCTCTTCCCCATCTCATTCTTCTCGTGTAGAGAGCCCAACAAGGCAAAGTGAACATCTGCACATCAGCTACTATGCATCTCTTTCTTTACTTCCCCTTTTTCCTGCAAACCTGACGGAGTATAAACAATTTTTCTCACTCTCACTCATCTTTATTCTGCCGAACCCTTCTCATTCAAACATGTTTGGTAGCAAACCACACTAAGTATTACGCTCCCAGCCTTGTTTTCTCTCACTTTTCCTCTATCTCCCTCTCCCACGTGCGATAACAGACATATCAGATAAACACACAAAACAGACACATCAGGTGCATCCAAAAAACACCGCGCACCTAACCAGACGTCTGTTGTTTGTTCCAGCAGACAAAACATCCCTGGCCACTCGAAAGAACATTTGCTTCTCGGTGAGTTGGCCGTTCATTGTACAGCTGTACATTGTGTCGCACGGTACAGCTAGCACAAGCCGACACGAAAAAACTGTTTACGGGGTACAGCGCACGCATAAAGGTATGTTATAGAGCAGAGCCACTCACGCTGTTCAAGCAGTCCCCGGAACCCGTGCAAGCTGGGCTGCGTCTTGAGCGCCTGCTCTTCTTTCCGAATCGCCTCCAGCTCCACGTGAACTTCACGCATCAGGGCCACTGTAGATGCGACGCAGGTACCGTCCGTAGTCGAACACACATGGAGCAAGGCGGGTGGGCACGGTGGCACAGACGCCGTCGTGCACATGGTCGACGTAGAAGGCAGGTTCCGGCAAGACGGCCACGACGAACGACGTAGAGGAAGAACGGGAAGAAAGAAAAGGGAAGAGAGAAATTGGAAAAAGGAAAGAGAAAGAGGAAGAAAGGAGAAATCAGTCAAGCGCGACGGTCGGGGACGCCGTTTCGGTGTCACATGCAACGAGCCACGACACGAGCGAACACATGTCGAACAGGATGAAGAAGAAACTAAAAGAGCAACAAAGATGAATGGAATGATTGGGCAAGCATAGCAGTAGCAGCAGCAGCAATGTTCCTCCGGGCTCACGGTGCACAAAAAACAAAACGACGGGCGTGCGCGTGAAAGATCGCACACATACACACACGCACTCACTACACACACGCGCAGACACCGGCGGCTGAAGACACGCCCGAAGGAGGGTATAGGCAATAAAGCTGCCCGAAACGACCGAGCTTTACGAGGCAACAGTAGTAGTAGTAGAACAGGACACACCCGGCTACCTCCGCGTGTGCTGCTTTCTCTCGCAGCGTAGCCATGTATGCTTTTTTTCTTCTTCTTTATCGCCCTCGACAGTCGGCGTTCATTGCACCGTCGAGTGGGTTAGAGGAGACGCGATAACGGCTTGTCTGAGACCTCTCGGATGTCGACGACTAGCTGTAGTCATAAAACAGCCCGCAAAGATGGCGCTCCTTCTCCAGTCCTCCTTCTGAGTACCCGTTAATCAACGCTACAAGCACGGGAATGCTCCATAGTCGAAGCGAAAAGAAAATCGCCTCAGGCGGCTTCGTTGGCGTTCTCGTTTTTCTCCTTAGACGTACGTAAGAGGTGTCGTTCGCAGAGCACCCTCTTGCTCGTTTCTCGCCGAACGTCGCCTACGCAGATGGTAAACAGGTTGTTTCGCTTGAGGACACAATCGCCCTTTTAGGTTTAAAGTGTTCGTGAATGGTTTAGTATTAAACGAGTTAATTAACTTCCCATTTAAGTCCTTCGAGAGCTTTGTATTGAGGTTAATTGCCTAACCGATTCGCTTTGCGCTGGCAGTCGGCTTAGGTTAGGTCCGATCAGGTAACATAAATAAACGCACTGCTTAAAAACTCTTGTTCTTGATAGAGGCGGAATGCTAGAGAACATAAAATGACAACATTTATTAATATAAAAGCTGTTACTCTTCAACCTTTGCTGCTGTGAGATTGCAGGCTTTGCGCTGACACACTCGTGTGCACACAGCACTCGAGATAAAGTTTGTGTTGACGTCGCCCGAGATGAAATATAGGCACCCGGAAAGTGCAGTTCTGTACCAAAAATCTCGTAGAAAGATTAAAATACGTAAGTTTTTCTGGAGGTAAATACTTCTTGTTCGTTTCAAAGTAGATGGCGCGAAACTGCGTAAGAGATTATGCTAATAATGTGCGTTGCAGCATTTCCGAGTTCGCTGAATATTTAATGCATGTTGGCGGTTATGATCACTGAATTTTCTTGCGCCAACACGTTGGTGTTGACGGGATAGCCACAAAGTTATTTTTTACTCAATTGTTTGTTTGTTTTTTTCTTCATGAAACGCGTGAATCAGAGTCAAACACTTTCTTTCCAGCCAACCGTTCGTTAAAAGACACCGTCAACGGAGTTCACCGGTCTACCTTTTGTCCATCGGTGTACGCATCAAGCTAGGGAGTTCTCGCCACACTAACACAATTGGCACTTTGTCGAGCTTTGGCCTAAACCTAATGCAGTAGCCTCAAGTAAAGAATATCTACCCATGCCGTGACAGTGTAGCCCATAAACTGCACACAAACTTCCACGAGCCACGGATTCCACGCTTGCCTCGTTAAACTCTTAAAAGAGGGCTCCAGTGAAAGACAGTAGCCGCTCACTATGCAAACACACATACAATTTAGCTGAAGCACGTTTACTTAAAGTAGCCTCTTATAAATACTTAGGCTTAACGTTAACAAGTACCTTATCCTGGAATTTGCACATAAATAACATCTGCTCTGCCGCTTTACGTAAATTATGCCTTCTCCGCCACAAGCTCAAGACTGCTCCGCCTAGTGTTAAACTCCTCTCCTACTTTTCCTTAATTAGGCCTAAACTTGAGTACGCCTCCATAGTTTGGGATCCCCACACAAAAATTAACGTTCAAAACCTAGAAAGAATGCAAAGAAAAGCAGTACGATTCATATATAGTAAATTTCAGTCAACCGACTCCCCCACTGCCTTACTAACGGCAAATGGTATAGAACTATTACAAATTCGAAGAAAAAAAAGTCGGCTACAGTTTCTTTCAGACATAGTGAACCACAGGCTACCTTTACACACCACAGCAAACGTATCCCCCTTGTTAAGCAGACCCACTCGACACCACTATCCTTATTCCCTAACGCCAATCTTCGCAAGGACTGATACTTTTCGGTACTCCTTCTTCCCACAAACAATAGATGATTAGAATAAACTAACCGAAGCATTTCCTCAACGCCCTTGACCATTTGTGTAAATACTCTTCTTCCATGACTTCCTTTAATTGTATTATCACCTTGTTGTTCAATTGTTACTCTTTTTTAAAGTCATAACCCCTCTGTCTTATAGCAAAGAAATTGTGTAAAAAACGCTTTGCAACCTTGTTTCATTCTGTTATTTAGTGTGTTTCATGTATGCTCACCCTGCTTGGACTTTTTGTCCACAGTATTTTATAAATAAGTAAAATAAATAAACACTCTCGTCCTCGCTAGAGGTGCCAGCTCCGGGAATGCTGGCAGACTGATGTTAACTCTTTTGAAAATGACCATTCAGACGATCAAGTGGCCTTGAGACTATAGATATCCTGAGAAAGATATTTATGGTCCTGTGGTTGTCATCATACATGCATGTGCCAGCGAGAAGTGTACGGTATAAAAATATCTGGAACATGACGTAGTCCGTCGAAAGGACACCAACTAAAGAAACGCCCCTCACAAAATAGTGTTGATAGGGAAACAGATGTCTGCGTCTGCCAAAAACACTACGAGTGTAAACAAACAAACAAACAAACAAACAAACAAACAAACAAAGATTGAAGTGTACGCAAGAAAGTATGAGCGCGGCATGTTGAACCATATAAAACCTCCGACGAACTTACAACACACGCTCCTCCTATCTTTGTCACGAGATTAGAACACTCATCTACCAGTAGAAAGCCCTATGCTTTTCATTTTGACCGCATATTCTGCTCTACAAGAAGTGAACTGAAATTCAACCCTCCTACTCTTTACTCATCCCATGAATTATACTACTTCTTACAGAGACTGCCACAGATTTACGTTTGACATGCGAAATTCAATCACTTTCATTTGACGGTTTCATTTGACGCTGACAGTACGCTTGTCCCACGATAATACGTGGAGTTTAACGCCCCAAAACCACCATATGATTATGAGTGACGCCGTAATGCAGGGCTCCAGAAATTTCAACCACCTGGGGTTCTTTAACGTGCCCTCGAATCTGAGCACATGGGCCTACAGCATTTCCGCCTCCATCGGAAATGCAGTCGCCGCAGCCGGGATTCGATCCCGCGACCTGCGGGTCAGCAGCCGAGTACCTTAGCCACTAGACCCCTGCGGCGGGGCAGTACGCTTGTCCCACGCCTTATTACGGCAGTATTTGATGTTGTATTATGGAACATGCACACAGGACGCATGTGTTTGTAAAGAATGAAAGTTACTTTCACTGCATTTCTAAGCAGAGGCGTGGCTGTGTGAATGCAGTGACGACTCTGCTTGTGAATGCAGTGAAAATAAGGCGCGGCTCTTCAGTAAAAAAAAAAAACAGAAGCGTGTCTGTGTGGGTAAAACACCCGCTTGCCAGGCAAACGACCCGGGTTCGAATCCCACTCAGTCCCGGAATTTTTTATTATTTATTGTATTTGCATCTTTCTCTACTTTTTGGTCACGCAAATGTTGATTGATTGATTTGTGGGGTTTAACGTCCCAAAACCACCATATGATTATGAGAGACGCCGTAGTGGAGGGCTCCGGAAATTTTGACCACCTGGGGTTCTTTAACGGTCACGCAAATGTGGCAGATGTTTCAGTCACGCTAGGATGATGATTTTTCGCTCTCAACCAACGACGAAGACGCTGTAATTTCGGTGAAATGAGCTCTTTAACGCTATCACGTTGAAAAGCCAATTCCTTTGTCCGCAATACACAACCTTGGTCAAGGTGATATGCTTTTAGGCAGACTCGGACAGCTCTCATTCAACCAACGTCGACCTCCAAGGGTCACCATTTACCTGCGAAATTCTATGTCACCTTTTGATTTTCTGCGACTAAGCTAATTGAATTTTCAATACGAGTATAGCCACTAATTCAAACAGAGAGTCTGGTATATACTAAAGGCTGACAAGCAACCGACATTTAAACTGCTACCACAGGGCAACGCTGTTCTATTATATTTGTTCATTGAATATCCCTGACAGTTTATTATTTTCTCTCGAGAGCTGCAAAAAAGGATGAGAATAAATTAAATTGCTCTAGAATCCCTAAACCAAGCCAAAAAAAGGGGGGTGAAATCCCTTGAGTGAAAGAGGCTTCCTGCCCTGTGAAAACACACGGCACGCCGTTTTACTTAACGCACAGAGTTATCGCCACGCCAAACACTGAATAAAAAAAAAACTGGATTTGCGAGAGTTACTTCAGGCGAACGCGACGACAGGCAGGTACAGAGAGGGCAGAAATAATAAAATACAGAACACGGCAAATTGGCACTGCGTACGACAACTCAATAAGCCGGCGAATGTGTTTCCGTTCCCAAGAGCACTCTAACGGGTTGAAGAACGGGGCTGGAAACAACCGGCGACCACATCTGAAGCAGCGGCGAATCGGCGAGGCGGCACGAAAGAAAAAGGCAAGCAAATGTGTTCGCAACGAAAACGTATACTACTTACGCG